GTCGGTGGCGCCCACGGGGCCCCGCCGCTGTTTTTGGCTCTATGGGATCAAGTTTTGAGGAGATAATGTGTTGCTCGCTTGAGGCGTTTGCGGTCCAGCGGCCGCGACGAGCGAGACTAGGTGGTGTCCGTCGGTATGTAGCAACAGATGCCTGCTGCTGCTGCTGCTGCTGCTGCTGCTGCTGCTGCTGCTGTCGTGTACAAATGACACCAGTCGGACATAAGACGCGTGTGCAAAACGAGGCAAACTTGTCGGTTGCAACGCGCTGTGTTCCACATATATGTAGGCCTGCCCTATTTTGTTCGGTGATTATCGGAAGCCACCGCATCGTGTGTCTGGCGGCCACTGTAGCATCCTCGAAGCTCGTATAACGTGGGCTTTCCGTATCATCATCATCCGGCCGTTTTTTTTCTTTTTTCGTAACACCCGAAATGTGCTTCCTTTTCGTTCATTCTTTTCCCGGTACTGCACCTGCACCACCCGGCAGAGCTGCGACGACTACACCGAATACGACTTCCCGTGCTTCGAAGACCCAGTGGACGAGCTGCCGGAAGCATCGGGAGTTGCGTCCGACGCTCAGCTGGCTTTCTTCGATATGTGAGGAGGGGGCGGCGAGCGTCACAGGGGTTGGGTCGGGGGGGGAGGGGGGGGCGAGAAGTGTGCATGCACCTTCTTTGTTGGTCAGCGTTGACGGGCTTGCAAACGAGGAGGTTTAGGTCTTGGCGATGCAATAATTGTCACTTCGAGAATTCGTTTTGTTAGTCCGTTTGTGTGTGTGTTACGCGAGCGGCTTTGGTCGATCTATGTGAAGCATTCATTCAGCGCTTCAGCTGTGTGTGTGTGTGTGTGTATGTGTGTGTGTATGATTCGATATCTCTTTCAAGCGTCCAACCAGCTAGTCATCTTTGTCTACACCTGTACACCTTTATGTAACTCCTGCTGTGGCAGAAAACCTTTTTTTCGCCTTCAATGCCTCGGCGAAAATTGTGTGTCTCGGCAAAGCGGTCACGGCTTGGAATATTTTTTGATGGTGCTTACGCCTCCGATGCTTGGCGAGCTTCTGCATCGCAGCTCCGCGGCCACGGATTTGAAGACGTTTTGTTGGTGTTCGTTGTGATGGCGCCCTCTACTTGCCCTTGCCCTGCCCGCGGGTTGTCCGTTCCCCTTGTGGTTGTGCAGCGGTACCGAAGACGGGGGCCTTATCATCCCCGATGACATCGGTGACATGTGGGACGCCCAGTACGCCGCCGGAGCAAGGTGAGAAGATGGACGATGCTCCAAGAAGGCATCAACACGGCTACTCTGCTGTTGTCGCTCTTGCGAGAGTATATCAGCGGTGGTTGTGGTTGACAGCGTGCGCCCCTGGTGTTGTCTGCCGCAGGCAAGCACGTTCCATCCGCAGGTATGACAACGTTCCGCACAGATTTCCGGCTGGTATGTACGTGGCCGGCGGCAGCGAGGGGCATTTGCTCGTGCCCGACACCAGTCTTGCTGGCTCCCTACTCCACTGCATGTTTATGTGTTATCCATGGCAGAGCCAATGTTGGAGGTTTTCCCGTGTATTGCGACAGCTGGGAATGTATGGCGTCCATTGGCTGCTTGGTTTCCCCCCCCCCATCGCCCCACC